GTTTAACAAATACTTTAAAAATAGGTTTTTGATTTTTGTTAGTAGAAATACATAGGTCCAGGCTAATTCAGAGTTTGGTCTGCTCGAGACTATTCTTCTTGGATATTTTGTTTACTTCATATTTTGAAGAGGAGATATGTGAAGCGCAATGATTTGCTTTTTACTCTTGATTAGCTTAAAAGGTTAGTTCTTAGGTAATTACAGTTACATACAAATGCCACTAACTGTTTCACAGGGCTCTTGTACATTCAATTTAATCCACAGCCATAGCCACTGCCACTGCCTGTGGCGCGTGGCATTTATGTAGTATGTATGTATGTTGCTTGGATTCGTAAACTCCTAACCCCCATCCGCAATCCCCAATCGTCCCACACATCCCTGTACATCCGTTTTGCTCTTGCTGAGTCCCTGTAGCTACCCCGACGAGGAGTACACATGTTTTTTCGTCTGTCCCGTTATTCAGTCGCTGTCGCCTTTTGCGCATAATTTTTCACTTTCTGCTATGCACATTCGCTGGCCTCAGCAGCATACATACATACATACATAAAAAGCTTATAATTTTTAATGTTTCACTACAGACACACAGGCAGACACACTGAGGCAGACACGCATCCACACTTCAATCTTCTGGTGCGTTGGCGTGTAGGCGAGTGTGCTTTGTCTGTTGATAAATTTGCTTAGATTATTATCCTGGTGCGGTTTGCTTTCTGCTGTTATCTTTTTCTGTAATTAGTCTCAAACTTGTTTGCGCCGCATTTACACACAATGCTCGTGCCTTGCCAACCACATATGAGCACATACATACATACTTGTATGTTTGTATGTACTATACATACATACATGTGTGTATATACAAGTATTCGTTCACAGGGCTTGAATGGTCCGTGATAGCATGAGGCAGTCGTACCGGGCAGGCCTGCAGACATTTTGTTTATTTAGTGGGCTAGAGGTTGTTCTGGAGTGCTTTGGGATCTCCTCCCGCTTGTGTTATCACATGATTCGAGTTTGAGTGAATCATGTGGACAGGCTGACAGCACGGCTGGTCTGATGTTAAATTAGTTCTGGCCGTTCTAGGATACTTCTTTTTGTTACAAAATTGGCACAGTCTTAAATATTTTGCGGTCCTGTTTAGTGGCAGAAAGACTTAATCTGGGCAAGCATCTTGCAACATCCGCTAAGGCGCGTTAGCCCAGCTCGTAAAGTCTAAGCCATAGGATTAATTAGCTCAGGGAACTGTAGTCGGCAACGCCCCAATCTCCGCAAGGTAAATCTGAATTTTCGCATTGTCCACAAAGCACAGAGACAATTGATCCTTTTTTCCACATAATTTTGCACTTAGAGTAAATAAAAACCTCAAACCCGAAAGCGTTGCGTCAAGTTTTTCACTTTGCTCGGCGGCTGCTAAGACCATCAATCATTTCAGCCGCCAGTCAGTTAGGCGGCCACATTAGCATTTATGGAGCTCACCCGGTGAATTTTTCAGAAAGGTTTCCCTGCATGGCTGACTTTTATACGATTTTCGTAATTTGATGCGCTTGTGCATATTTTGAGTCAATTAATGTCATAGAAGTTTGGCGAGCTGCCTGCAATCGATCAAATTATGAATGCAAAGGAGGCGAGCACAGTCATGGTAAGAAGGGCTTGCTGCAATAAACGTTTTTTTGTGACGTTTTTCATATGGAATTATGAATGAGCTCGATGATGATGCCTTCAGCTGTGCCCAGCTGCACCTTCACTTATGCATAAGAATATATTATTATATTTGTGATGATACCTTACTAAATTTGACGAGATACTGCAGTTCATGCGACTGTGGGAAAACAACAGGTCCCAAGTATATTTAAGAAAATGGTGAAAAAAGCTAATGATAGCCGTCCAGACAGGCTCACATATCATTTAGATATGAACTGATAGCCGAATGGCTGAGCTAAATCAACAAAACATAAATAATCGACTGTCCCATAAGCCATTGGTTTGCTGCCAGGTAAGGAAATCCAAACGCTTACCACACAGAAGAAAAACGAATTGAGATGAAGAAATGCTTGTTTTCGAATCTCGTCTATTAAGCTATGAGTTAAACAATTGTTTATTTATTTACAACCTCAAATTATATCCAGGTAAATAACTCTTAATCTAAAATGTTTACAGAAATAGTAGAACAGTGTACATTGGATGTACTAGTATGTATTGTTAAAACACACATCTAGGTTTCAGCAATTAGTTGACATCGATAATATAATTGGTTTGTGTGAAAGGATCTGTCAATCAGTTATTATATTTGTTCTTAGTTTTAGAGATAAGGAACCTTTTTTTTCTGGATTCAATCTACGGCGTTAAAACAGAATTTGGTGTACTTAAATTATTGATCAGCAGGACAAGATGAGTCGATATAGCCAAGTCCGCCCGTCCCTATGTCAGTCTGTATGAGCGCAATGATTTCAGTGAGTTCAAGATCTAGAATACCTAAACTTGGCATCTAGGCTCCCCTCCTTACGGCTTAGGGGAAAATTATCTTTTCCTGTTACATCCCCCATTTGTTACTTGATAACTCTCGTAATTCGTGCAATTCTTTACTCACTTTGTGCTTATCTTCCACTATGTCAAGATTCATCATGATATGTCAATTGTAAAAAAACTTATAGCGATAAATGTAAAATCTGCCTAAGTTCAGCGATCTGCTGTTGTTGTTGTTGCTGTTTTGACTTAACTCTGTGAGACACACATTCACGCACATAGGCACGCATAGATACAACCCCGATGTAAATGTGAACTCTTTAAAATCGCTACTTATGTATGTATATATTGAATATATTTTGTTTTATTTATAATTTATATAATTAAACTTTTTAAAATTATTAAAAAAAAAAATTAACATTTTTGTGGGAGTGGGTATTTAAGATTTGAGCCTGCTCGATCCTTTCATTCTTTTCTTGTTCCAAATTACTTTCCAGTGTGGCTTTTTGTGTAAATTTTTGAATGAGAGGTAAACTTTAAGTATTTAAGTATTTTGAACTTTAGCGATTATACACATATATTCACGTCTTCATTATTGTAGTGAAAATCTTCTTACCACTAACCACTTTTAAGTCGTGATAACTTTCAATTAATTAAATTCAAATAAAGACTAAAAGGAAATTCCACTTAGTATGCATCACGAACCCTGCGGCACAATAAACGCCATTTTGTTTAATGCACTTAATCCAATTGGTCAGAGCCAAACAACAACATTGCAAGCTAATTAGTTCATTTATATAAAGTGCTCATTTAAAAATTTAATTAATGTCAATATGAGCGTGACATAGAGTGGATTAAATTTAATTTAATAACCTGTATATCGACATAAAAACGTACTTAATGGAATTCCACAACGCATTGCATACTAAATAGTATACTTACCTTCACCTATAATATATTTATTTATGTACAGTGGCTCGCAGCTTATTTGAATCAGGTAGTACTGCTATTAAGTTTGAAGTGTTATACATTTTTCTTAAACATATACATATGGAAATATTTAGGAAAAAAAATGAAGAATTTTAATTTTATACTTGTACTAATAAATTCAAAAATAAAAACATTACATAAATATCTATTGTCTGTCCATGTGACCGACTTTATAAGTGCAAGTGTGCACCCCTTACTTTATCGCTTGCAATTTTATACCCGACTTTTATTTTCTAACATGACGCCGATAACTTTTGAATCATAATAAATATAGAACACCAAACTTGTTAAGCGAAATAGTGTGAAACGAGACATGGACTCCAAAAAAATGTATGGTGTTAAATTCATAGATTTTGAAAAATGCACAAACGAATTTATGTGGTTTAAATTTCCACTGTTTTAAAGGTCCTAATATTTTCAAAACTAACAAGTGTTGAATATTTATTATTAACAGATTAATCTTATAAAACGGAAAATATTTTTGAGTGTAAAAAATGTTAAAGCAGCTTAATATAAAATTCAAGAACCATTTGGTCCCATCGGCATATAATTTATTTAAAAGATATTTTTGTGCTAAACATTATTTTGTTTGTTGTAGTTCTCTTTTTGAAAAATAAACTGTCAACAACCACTGGTTATAATTTCTACCAATATCCATTCAATGTTGCCTCCTCAATCTCTTTTAGAGATAAAATAAACAATTCAAAAGAATAGGAATTTTATTTCCAGTACTAATTACATAGATGGAGTCAGTTTCAGTCGTATCTGAAATCCTAATCGCCTAAAATGCTCCTAATAGTATGTTTTGTATTTAAACATTCAGATTTAGCTATTTATTGTGAGTGAGCGAAACTGAATTAAAGTACTACGCTTCTTTTTTAAATATTTCTCAACTTCTACCATGTAAGAACGAGGTTTTCAGCGCATTAAAACCGAAAAGGTAACAAATTTTTAATCGTGTTCAACCGAGTTCGTATTAAAAGTGGTTTTGTTAAGCGTTGTGTGTTGGTTGTATTTCACTTTCTTCATCACACTTAATATTCTCTTTATATAGCTTTGATTTATAATTACAATCAAATATAGGACTACTAAATAAATAAATATATCGGCTTAGAATACATGGCACTTTAAATTTAATAGATTTTACTTGCTTAAATAAGCTGCCACTGCAAAATCGAGTCCGGGATCCAGCCACGCAGGACAAGGGCAGCAAAGGTTGGCAGGGGCGAAGCAGCTCCGCCCCGGCGAGGCAATACATTATGCATTATACTGATTTACAGCATAGACTGTTCACAACTGTCAACTATTGCATATACTTCGGATGGCAACCAGTTGCTGGCACATGTTGGCTGTCAACGGTAAGCCACAGCAGACCTTAAGCAGACGTGCTTATAAGTCCTCACCATATGTCTTTGAGCCGTCTACTTACCCGTGAAGTGGATAGGATAGCCCACCATTTCATTATTATTTATGCGTTCAAGTGCTGCATCATCCGTGGCCATTCGAGCTGTTGCGCCTGCGCACAGCTGAGACTCCAGACTGTAACCTTAGACAGGGGCGGGCTTCTTAGGACATAGTACTATATTCTCCATGGAAAATACCATCTTAATCATGTTGTTGGTGGCAACTGCAACTAATTACATATCAATTTGTTGGTACAATGTCGGCGAGCCGTGCTAAACTGAATCCCCACGGATCGCTGCTGATGAACAGGCAGGAAGTGATGATCGCACGTGGGTTGGGCCAACCGCAAGGCACCTGTGGTTTTTTGTATTTCATTAAGTAGTTGCAGTTGAACACTAGCTTTTTAACTTGTTCTATGTTGCCCTCAGGATCAAATGGAACAGTCATATGTTTATGGAAACGCTTCTTGCCTCGATAAGCTTGGCCTAAAAAACGATCGCGACTGCTTCAAAGTATTATTGTTTAGAGCTGTTTAAGCGGGTTCTCAATATTACACGGAAGGGACAATAGAAAAGAGAATCTGCCCAAGAGAAAGTCGGTTCCACACATTCTGAGCGCGAATGAGAGTGAGTATGTGTGTGTCTATTTGTAGCACGCACTTGAATCAAAGGTTGTGCTCTAACCGGAAATTTAACAAAACGTACTTGAATTATTCGTTTAATTAGTTAAGCCTTAATGCTTGGTGCTTTACTTGCTACGAGCATATGTACATGAACATAAGCCAAGAAAAAAGGACTGCTAGAGTCGAGCGAGCTTAACTCTTAGATACCCTGTAGCCACTCCTAAAAATGAGAATAAAATTATAAAAATTTTAAAATTATAAGAATTAATTTAAAAAATCAAATTAATTAAATAAAAATTATTCAATTCATACATAAGTGAAAACAGATGTGTGAAGCACATAATTAAGTCAACAAACAGCAACAACAGCTGCGGGCTGAGCTTGGGCAGATATTACATTTATGGCTCTAACTTTCTTTCTGATTAATCTATCATAATGAATCTTAATATACGGACACATAATCACTAACTGGATGTAACTACCCAATTTGACCGAAATTTCAAGGATCAGGTGAGTTATAGAAAAAGGCGAATAGTGGGAAAGTGCGGGGTGTATCGGAAAAAATTAACAAACTTGTTTGGTTATTCTAGCTCTTATTCTTTCTGAGATCCTTGCATTATACAGGCAGACAGACGGACAAACGACATTGGCTATATCGATTTGTCCTGTTACCATGATGAACAATATATGCATGTACTTTTTGGGGTCTGCCACGCCTTTTTCTGTGTGTTACATGTACACTCTTGCACACAACTAATATACCTTTCGGGTACAGGGTATAAAACTCCGAAGAGTTGTAGCGAGCAGCAAAATATACTTACGGAAATTTACCAATTTCCAGATGCCGCACTTTTATGACTTCCATGTAGTCCAGTGTGTTGAAATTATGAACAATATTGGGATAACTACAAAAAGTTTGTACAAATTTACTGTCCTTTGATTATCTTTGTTTCTCTTTTTTCAAACAACCTTTTTTCGACCAAGCCTAACAAAGTTACCAGAGCAACAAATTAGCGAAAAAGCTTATTAACATTTTTATACCCACGACTACGAATTCAGTTTTTACTTGTGTGAAATACAATTTTTTTCTGTGTAGAGCCCTGCTTCAATTGATGGCGCACTACTTCAGCTCTGTTTTAATGCCAGTTCCCCGGCTTTTGTGCGCAACTACTCCAAACCCCAATTGTCTTCTAATTATATTTTGTATGGCTGCAAAATCAAAGGAGGCGTAATTCGGTCTCACCATTGAGTCAGTCACCGGTTCGTCACAGCCGTCGTCTCATAAAGAATAACGTGGCTTGTGTTAAGGCGGCAAATCAAATCAAAGGAATAACAAACAAGGCGATGCGGCACAAAGCCGTGCCCGAAAAATATGCCATTGTTGACAGGCCGCAAACAAAAAGAGTTTAGCCATGAATAGTCGCCTGACGTGCAGACAAAGGTTTCAGCGGAAAAAGCGATCAAGCTGGCGAGCAGCTAAGAAAGAAAAAGCCGCAGTTCCTTTTTCTTAAATACATAAATGCGAACCGAAGTATCATCACATATCCATGTATGAATATGTGTGAATATGTGTGAATATGTGTGTCGGCATACCCGATTTTGCGGATTTATTGTGTGGAGGGCTTAGCCAAGCGCATTGTGCTCCTGGTTGGCAAGGCATCGTAAGCGTTTTAACCGAAATTAAAACATTTCACGCAGCAGGCGATCAGGCTTAGTTGAGAGTTTGGATGGGGCGGGTACGGTTGCATTCGGTTGTTATCCAAAGCGTTAGCTGCAGCATTTCCTTTTATTTGAATCAGGGCTTTTCATTCATACACGTATATGTTTGTTTATACTATATGCTCGTATAAGCGCTAGGAAGTCAGAGTTCAACGCTTATCATATCCAGCACGCTGCGGTCACAGTTCTTACTGTAATCAGCACAGTCGAAGCCGCACGTGCCATGCCAGGAGGCCTCATAGACGCTATTTGCATTTTGCAGGTAGGACTCAGGTGCGCTGGTGGTTGGTCTAGAACAGTGGTCGAATATAATTAGCTCGGGCTCAGTGCTCGTCTCTTAACTTACATGAACAAAATTTGTAATATGCTGCCAAGCAAACCATTCTGTGCATCTAAAGGTGATGCACTCACCTCACAAATTGTGCGCAGCAAGCAGGCGCTGCCATTGAGTCCAAAATGTTCCAGATAATGCACGAAGCTACGATAAAAGGAGTGGCGCGTGTAACGAGGAGGTCCTCCTATTGAACGCTTGGACTTATTATCGTAGGCGCCACCACTGCGGCCATCGATAGGCGTCACATTACCGCCTATGCCCAGAATGTGTTGATCCAAGTCCCACTAGCAGTAGGAAGAAATTCACAATGGAATCTGACGAATACAGAAACTATAACTTACGCGATCAACCCATTGCTTATATGAATCATTTAAGGGCAGAGCATAGTTCGATTCAAAATTGAAAGCCATGTATACATTGCGATTTGGTAGATCCAAAGGAATAGCGACGGCCGCTAGAAACTAAAAGTTTATTAGTGCAATAGGGCTATGTCTTGGCATAGAATCCGATTTAAAACCTACGCCTATGGCGCTGCCGCGGGTGTAGAACAAAAATGCACTACTCAGTGTTATTCCGAAGCTACAGAGTAGAACAGAGTAGTTCCAGAACCAGAAGCTTTGCGAATAGTTTGAACTCATCGCGGCCGAAGCGTTAACTCAACTGTTCATTGCTTAGTGCAACAAATATGTGGCATGCACCCCTTTTGCAAATTGAAGTTGCAGAAGAAGATGTGTGAAAAGAAACGCCTCAGAATCACCTATAAAGTATGCTGTTGGTGTGAATAATTTGTTAGTTGGTTAGTAATTACCCAGCAGTTCGGCTAGAGACACTTGACCTCTTGGAGCTACTCACAGCGCTATTTCCAAGCTTACAGCTCTGTACTAGTCCCATAGTGTAGCAGCGCCGTACCAATAGAACATCGACACAAAACAAAATTACGAACAAATTTGGGCTCGTCTTTCGTTTCCCGAACGAAGGCTGTCTGCTTTCGTCAAGGAACACAAACAAATATTAGGTAAATCCCGTTAATTTGTTCGCTGGCCAAATTACAGTAACAAATATTAAGCAAGTGTCGTTGCTTTTTACCTACTCTTCTATACTTTTCCATTTCTCCAGCCTCCAATGGCTTAGACTTCTGTGTCCACATTTAGTTTACCGCAAAGGGTTGCTTTTGACATGGAAAAGTAAATGTTAAAATATGAAATATGTATATCAATACAAAAAGCTAAGTATAAAACATTTGTATACATGAACTATATACAATTACATAATTGTGAAAATTAAAAATTGCTTTGATGTTGTCATTATAGAATTTACTGGAAGCTCGGAAGCAGACGAATTGCGCAAAGAAATGCAGTGATCGAAAATGAGATTTTAAAATTATGAGTATTAACACAAATTAATATTTACATCAAAGTATATATTACATAATTAATTAATTTAAATGGTTATACCCGTACATTATAATTAATCTGTTTTATATATTTATGTGCAAAGGGGGTAGTATAGAATGCGAGCCGTTGGCAATTGTCCCCTGCCTAAACACCAAGGAGCTAGTACTTCTCTGGTACAAAGTATGCGAGGCGGTGGCAATTGTCCCTTTCGTATGGCATCGTGTGTAAAAAGTTAATGGAGAAAATCATGAAGTAAGACTAGTAGTGTCGTACTGCTGGGTAGGTAATGGGTGGACTGACTCGATACGCTGCTTTTAAATGAATACTACTTTCAAAATAAATGTATAGGTACTTCCTTTTGTTGCCCTGCGAGAACAGAGCTATTATTTGACTAATCTACATTTTCTACATCCGATTAGCCAAAACCTGTGCAAAGCAATCCTATGAATGAATTTCAGGTAGAGTGAGTCGTGACAAGAAGTTTCCGATTTTCAGCAAAAAACTGGACCAAGCAAGTTTAACACAGTTCCAGTATGACCTCGCAAAGACAAAAACCGTTTGTCTGACTAAATGGGTGGTGTGGATCGCGTCAGATGGAAGGTGCTAATTGTTGGAATGTGTAATATTTCTCCAGACATTTCTCTCCAACGAAACGGCAAAAGCATGATTCTACCAACTGTTCTTTCTGATTGGAGTAAAACGATGTCGCTCTTTTGGATTAGAACTTTGTTTTTTACGTTCAGTTAAGAAGCGGGAACGCAAGCATAAACAACGTGCTTTACGATACTTACAAGTAAATTATTTGAAAAAGGTTAATATAGCTATAGTAAAATGAATTCAAGAGTAGCAGTTAGTATAGTTTTCAAGGTGATACTACTCAATAATATGTTACCACATGTTAACGCTACAAGCCACAATCGCAGCAAACGAGGACCCATACCGTGGCTTATATTTCCCACTACTTCGCCTACTCGTGTACAATTCATCGGCGGTATAGGTATACCAGTGGAGCATCTGCAATTCGAGGCCATTACAACAGGATATGTTCTGAAGGCTGAGTATTGGCTACCTATATCGCCCGACGATCTGCGCACACCTACTGCGCTGCCCGTGAATCAGGTCATTACGCCGGGTCCCGTGACGGGAGCACGTCGTCGACAAAGACCCATGTTTGAGAATTTTCTGGTTGGTGCAAATGAGCTGGGAAAGAATACCCGGCAGTTGCTCTCGCGTACCAATAAGGTGCTGAGCAGCTATCGGTGGACCGCGTACAAGGGCCTGGAAGGTTTAGCGAATCGCTTGGGCCTGCAAGGGCGGATTTGTGTGCTGAAAAGCATTTGTGAGGCCGCAGAGGAGCCATTCCACGTGGCCAATGGACTATTTGCAGAGCTCTTTCACATATTGCTGACGTAAGTGTATACGAGGAGTGTAGGAAGTTGCATTTCCTATATGTATGCGGGCCAAACTTTATTACAGTCCCTCCTCCTCGGTGGACAAGCTGTCGGAGCACGCAGATAATGAGTTCTACCACGCGGAGAAGATGGGTCAATCGGGAGCTGGCTGTGAGCGCGTTTTTAAGGAGTGCCGACGCAGTTTGTTGCAACACTTCAGTGAACTGTACGATAATTTGGAGCACATTTTATCTTAGAAAATAAATGAATTTACACTCGAATCACGCTCAGTGTATTGTGACGCTGTATTGGATAGGAAAAGAAAGCAAACTCGATCTTACGGGAGGTGTTAATTGAAAAGGCACAATCAATTTTTGTATTCTAGACAAATGAGAGCACACTGGCGTCTTTTTTTATAGGCATGGTGTCATCTTTTTAGCAGTTATAGGTAGAATTGATGACTAGTTTTGAATTTGTTTTAGCACTTTCGATTTTCCCATGAAGGAAAGTAAGCAGTTTCTCGGAGGCGACTCGTGAATAAAGTGAAATTGTTTTTACGACTAACAGCTTAGTTATAAGTTAACTTCAGAGCTGCCAACTAGTAATCATTTTATGGAGGATTGCATTGGAAGAAGCGTTCAAATGAATATCCTGTGTATGCAGCTTTTGAGCGTACTTAGCTTCTCATTTATTGCTACAGCTATTGGCACTAATGCAAACTCTAGTCACTCTGATAAGGAACTATTGGTACGCAAGGAGCGATGGATACCTTATCTAATCTATCCGCGCACTCACCCATCTAGACTTCAAGTAAGTAATCGAGAACAATGGACAGACTATTGAACTAATGCACAAATTTGACTTCTTCAGATGATCGCTGGTTTCGGTATTCCCGTTGAAGATCTGTATGTCGAAAATGTACTGACCGGCTACGTTTTGAAGGCCCAATACTATTTGCCAAGTACTGCTAAGCAACTACGCACCAAAAACTTGCACTCGATAACAGAGCCTCGGCAGGAGCACTATGGAAGTAACGCTTCTTTCTTTGAGCAAATGCTGGCGAAAAGCGAAAGTGAGCTTGACTTACCAGAGATGAAGCCGGATATAAATATGAACTCCTTGAGCAGGTATCGCTGGGCTGCCTATAAGGGCTTTGAGGCTTTAGGTTTGCGCATGAAGCTTAATGGACGCGAGTGTGTACTTAAGAGTATCTGTGAGAGCGCCATGACCCCATTTGATGAGCGAAACGGGTTGCTCGGCGAGCTCTTGCATATCTTGTTGACGTAAGTATGGTTGAGACCCAAAAGGTATTGTCGGATAATCTTGACTCTTTGGATAGTCCTTCCAGCTCAAAGGATGCCCTATCAGTGCACACGGATAACGATTATCTTCACGCAGAGCAATTGGGCCACAAGGGCGCCGACTGTGACCAGGTCTATTCCCGTTGCCCAAAGTCGTTGCTTCAACATTTCAGCGATGTCCATGCCTGGGGCAGTGACATTTTGAAAATGTTGGGTGGATAGGAGCAGCAAAAATTACCAGCCAGGTTTTTAGGATACTTGTAAAGTGATGTAAGAACTTTTTCTAGGCGCGTAGTACACGAAAAAAGAAGAAGAAGGGAAAAGTCGTTGGTCCAGTTAGAATTGATTTGCTAATAACTTCTGATAATTTTTAGATAGAGGAAGAGAATTATATATAAAGTACGTAACCCTATGTTAAACTCAGGTTCGAATTGTGGACAATTGTATCGAAATTAAGCTGCGTGGCGTCGTCGATTCGCCTCGTCCTGCCGATTAGGATTATATATAGTTTATGGGGTCGGAAATAATTCCTTCTCATTTTTTACCCTTTTGGTATAGGTTGTAAAAATAATCCTTGGTCGAAGGACTTTCAAGCAAATTCTCGCTAATTTCTTTTATAGAATTGGTCATGTAGCTATGTTTGAAGGAACGTATAACGGTGATTGGTACGCAGCCATTTGCTTACCAGAAGTTTTCGTAGAATTGGGAAAGAACAACCAGCAAAGACGGAATCATCCTTCACTTCTCACACAACATCCGCTTTACAGCTGTGGCTTGGCACCTAAAGCCATAATTTTATTCCAAAACAAAAAAAAGCAATGTCAACGTTTGAAATCTTTAAAAAGTCTATTTTGGTAGTACTGTCATGGTTTAAGAGAGAATACAAATTGAGATTATGGAAAATATTTTGAAAAATATATAACCTTTTTTGATTTCTATTTACTCTGTCCTTGTTTTTGTTTTTCATTCCCCAAATATAAAAGGCGAGCCTCCGCTATTGTGGACATAAATACTTCCTTTTCCTCATTACTGCATGGCATTACGTTAAATTTATGCAAATTTCTACTTAATAACTCTTTTTGTTCGTATCTGCTCCTCATCTCTCTCCAGGTCGGGCTCCACGCTCGGGTGGTCGCTTGCGTAGCAAGACATGCGTATCTCGGAGACAAGCCATCGCATTGTCTTTAAATTAGTAATTACGGCCAACCATAGCCGTAGTCATATGGCTTAGGCCACTCGCTACCAGTCGTCTCAAGACCCACCACCGTCGTGGTCATCAACTTTGTCTGGCCGGCTGTTTTTTGTTGCCAATAAGTAGGCGTTTAAATGCAAATGTCTGCGCCGTAATTAATACGCATAATACGGGTATTATGCTAATTCCAATATAACAATGAGTTGCCAGTCCTTCAACTCGGAGCACAGACAGTCAAAATATGCTTTTCACACTTAAAAAGCAACCGCCTCTTGTCTGGGCCAGAGAGCTACTCTTATACTTGTATATGGAACTGCATCTGCGACTGAGGGTGGGGTCGGACTCACGGTTAATGTTTTTACGAACTAATTAGTTTGACAAAAAACTAAATACAAACAAAATAAAAAGGCAACGTCACTAAAAATTAGTAAGCAAAGGGTCATTCCAGTTCTTGTCAATGCCTACTTGGAAGTTGGGACTTTCTCTAATGAAGTTCCCAGAGGCTTTTAATTTGTTGTGTTGTGTTGTGTTTTGTTGGGCACCCTGGTCATGCATTTGCTCCATTGATGATGACAACATGTGATAAGACTTGTGGCTGCAACAAATAACATATTTGACAGAAGACTAGTTGGACAACAACAAAAAGAAACAAGTGGAAAATGAATGTGTCTGTAGGTTGTGCTATAAACTACAAAAATCTTGGGCAGATAATCGGTGGAAAATGCTGCAGTTTTTAGTGCAGCCTAATAGTTTCAAACTATGCATCTGATTTTTACTGCACCTTTCACAACTTCTGCTCGGCTGTGCCATGTCGTTGTGATTACCTTTAACCCTTGCCAGACAGGCTGACAAGCAGCCAGGGAGCCAGTAAGATAACCATGTCGACCTGCTTGGAGTTGTTGTTCGGAGTAATAATTTGTATTTCCATTGCCTTTGTTTAGAAACAATTTGAAGCAACAAGTTACTTAACGAAGTAATCAGTGTGTGCGCCTTGGAAAGCGACTGTAGGTTGCATACCCGTAGCGACAACCATTTTATTGCCTTAGTGAGAGAGAGGATGCTGCCCGACTGGCCATCTCGCCGCCTGTCTCTAAGACTTCGTAAATGCCTCAACCTGGCACACTACATCTTTATATGGTGCGTTGCTATTTTTGGTAGCCCCTTCTTAGCCAGGAGGCGAAAGTAGGTTGCCTGCGGGTTCTTTGTTTCCCCATTGCCCATAGTTGGCGCTACTAACTGGTGTAATCTATTTATGCTCCGGGGCTAAAATGTAACAAATTGTTGGAAATTGTGGGGTTGTCCAATATGGACTGTGGAGTGCGCGTATGTCCTTAAAGTGATATTCTAAGTAGAAATTACAAATGGGTTAAATATGCATTTTGCTTGAATTTAAGAAAAGTTAAACCTTAAACTTTAAGTCAAATGTTCAAAAGTATTTTGTAATTTGAGAAAAAAAAATAAACAAGAGAGAACGTTACAGTCGAGCAAGCCCGACAGTGTAATACCCTGTACCCAGGTAAACTCCCGTCACTGAGTTATATGCGCCCAAAAAGAGGAAGAAGAAGAGCGAACTTGTTGCTGCAGTTTGGGGGGGTTGTACTGGCGAGAATTTGTTTTGCTAATAACTTTTCTTAGAATTGACCGAACTGAATAAACAGTAGACAATTATATATAAATTTTGTGTGCAAAGTTTGGTTTAGGTAGCATTTGAAATGTGGACGCTATTGACGGGGAAGGGGGGGGGGGGGAATAAAAAAAATAAAATAAACTCGTCCTTTCTCGGACCTAGGAGAATCTGGATGCCAACTTTGGTCATTCTAGCTTTTATAGTTTCTGAGATCCTTGCGATCATCCAGACGGACAGACGGACGGACGGACGGACGGACGCACGGACGGATCTAGATCGATTTCTCTCGTCATGCTGATTCAGAATATATATACTTTATGGGGTCGGAGATGCTTCCTTCTGCATGTTACATACTTTGCACAAACCTACTATATCCTTTTTAATCTACGGGTACAGGGTGCGGTCAGTGAAAATCAATCGGTCCTAAACAAATTATGAACATTATATAGTACGTTATTGATTGTTTAATAAGGTTTTTGGTATAAGTATTACCTCATGATTTGTATGCAGACAAAGTATGTATTTAGTTAATTATTTTTTTATAGATCCAATATCAATCGGTGCAAAAAGCACACTGAAAATCTTTATGTAAATAAGATATCTTAAGAAAATTTGCCTCAACGTAGTTTGAAAATTCATCAATTTTCTGGCACTATGTATGTTATGTTATTCCTCGCGTTTTAAGATATTTAAAATTTATTGCCACATTTGAATGATTCCGCGACATTATTTTGCATATTTCTACTAAAAATTTATATACCTATTTTTAGTAAGATGGGCGCATATTTTGGAGTAATATTAAAAAATATTTTCGTCAATCTTTCCCTTATAGTTTTTATTTATTTTGAAAGATTCTAAGTCCAGAATTACAATTCATATTTAAACCTTAGTTTTTATAGCATTTCTACATGGCAACTGCTTCATTAGACGTTGATCTATATCGCTACTTAGCTTGAAACGGTGATTCAAGACAACTCCAGCGTTGATTGGTCTATTAGGATCGACATTTTATTGTATATTTCAGACTAATTATAAATCCGAGATTTTAAATTTGTGATTAACTTTAATTGATTGCGTTTAATTTTTTTATCAGCCAACTGTGTTTCCAGCCGACTCTCTTTCCACCTGTGCCTCCATCTCTTTGCCAGGTCCAGCTTCAGCTTAATGAACAATGATGGAGTTGTGGCGATATAAGTATGTAGAGGCAGTTGGCGCCCCAACCAAGCCAACCGTGTGACTAGTCCACGAGTGTTTCCCATTTGCTCGTAGCATAAAATGTATTTTTGCATAATTCATCACATATACTTGTATTTTATCATACATCTGCTTGAAATAGTAACACAGTTTATTATTTAAGCATCGTGACTATATTTACGTAGTGTCGGGCGTTGAATTAGCACCAAAGTATGCATGAAAAAAGATACTCTTCGTTCTAGCATGGCACAAAAAGCGCTGGCAGCGAAACAATAACAATAACCCCAGTGGGGTATGGCGTGCTTGAAATGCTGACGGGCATATGTAAAGCGATTCAGAGCATACCGGATCCCGCTTTCCCCCCTCCCACCCATTCGGTCGCCGACCGCAGAGACACTCATACGTTAACACAGACCCGGACAATTCTCGCATGATAAATCGTTAAAAGAATACGCGAAAACACCGGGAGCTCAGCGCGGCTCACTTGCCTTTTGTTTATGCAAAGCAATGTAAAAAAGGTTTAAGCAAAGAATTGGCGCTGTATACACGTACGTGCCAAAGCATTTCACGGTCTGGCAACTTAATTCAGAGACAAAACCAAACGCCTGTCCATGTGGGAGTGGGAGTGGGAGTGCGTGAGCCAGCCTGCTACCCAGTCCTAGGCCTGGCCATCCTGCATGTCGCGCTTTTTGTGCGCCATCGCCATTCATCTTGTGTGTTTTGCTCAGCGCTCACGTGCAAATTTTCTCAAATAAATCATTAAGTGCAGAGAGGGGGCGACTGTGGCACCGCGGCAGCGCGGCAGCGCGCACATTGACATTGTCAACATGGCGCTCTTTAGAAACGCTTTCAACGCATCCATAGACGTTGTAATAATAATCAACGCGGGAGTGCTTATTGTAAGTGCTTACGTGAGCCGAGGCCTGGACCTATTCATGGCAGCCTATTTCATTAACGCAGCGCCGCGTCGCCGGAGCTGTTTGCATGCCTGCCCGCTTATTCATAGATTGGGTAGCGCCTTTCAAACTATTCATAAAGCATAAGTTTAGGCGCCGTGACTTGTTGTGATGACGCAACGGCACAGTGGGACAGCAAAAAGTCTATAGACCTTACGTTTTTTTAAAGTCTAAGTTGGTATGTGCAGTGTTTATTATTTATTAGTAAAATGAAAAAGCAAATGCTTTTATTGAAGTATTAAGTATACTCATA